TACCCTCTCAGAAATGTGAGGCCATGGGAATCGTTATGACAATTATATTTTTCTGGCGTTCTTCTCTAACTATCGTCGGATAACGTTTTTTGACCAAGGCTTTCCGACTGTCCCGGCTCCATCCGCTGGGAGAGTGGCCTTTTGGCTGTTCGCAGATTCAAATATCTTGGACTTGGCCAGTCAGGGATTTGCCCCTGTACCGCGCGCCACTTGCCACTACACCATCTCCCCCTCATTACTCAAAATACATAGTTTGAACATGTCTCGTGAAAAAAAATGAAAAACCAAAGAATACATTACTTAGTCTATTGAAAGTAATGTCAGACTCGCTAAAATAGTGCGCTTACCTTTGCAGATTGTTGATTTCTTCAAAAAAGACGTTGGGACGATACATCACAAGAACAAAACTTTCACCAAGCTAACTCCGCGTGAGTGGGTTTTCCCTTCCCATCACTTACATTACCTTTGCAGAAAAGTGGCAGTACACTGTTTCAGGAAAATTTCTGACGGCAGTAGTGCGGTGTAATATCTCCGATGTAAGTCGAATAACGGATGGTGTACTCAGTCGACTCCAACGAGAGATTAGCAGTATTGTTGTGTTGAAGCCTGGGGATACAAATATTTTTGGAGTTGTTAACCAGTTACGGAGCGAGAAGGAGAAGGTACTGGGTTTTTTGATCAATATTCCCGTTCTAGTTGCACTGCCTTGAATTTCCAATTGCTATTTCAGGGAAAACAACTGCTTATTGTGGAGCAAGCTGAATCTCTCAGCCCACAGCTCTTGAATGGCCTATTTTACTCTCTTTCTTCTATCAGCGGCGATATAATTATTCTTTTATGCCTGCGAATGTCCACAAAACGAGCAACATTCTTTTCTGCAGTACCACGAAGGCTTTTAGCATCCCTCGATATGAAGTGCTTCTCGATATCTTCGTCCGAGGAAACATTTGATCGTCTTGCTTCTGCAGTTCTGCTCCATCTGTCATTCACACATTTGGAAATGGAGCCTTCATTCGTGAAATTTCTAAGGTTGTTCAGAAGCATTAATCGTTTTCTACACTCCATTAAAATAGAAGATTCCAGATCATCCTTCTTCCGCGACGACTTTTCTATCTCATTTGTGAAGAAATCGTTACGATTTGCTCTCATGCAGTATTTATGGAAAGGACATATAGACTCAAAGGTATGTTCCTTCAGCTTGAATCCATGTTCTGCAGCTCACAATCAGCGTGAAATGCGACAACAATCGGTGGAAAACGACCTTTACGAACGACATGATACAGTCTTGCCACTTGCTCATTTCAGCAGCTATTGTAGAACGGGTTTGGCACCGCGCCGAACCTATCTCGCCTAACATATCCACCATACGCAGTGAACCAGAATATAAATGCAGTTTTAACCGAAGCGAAAATTGTTAGATAACCTTTATTATTCTGTCTAACTCATTCGAAGAATTGCTGATTTTACAACGTCGAAAAAACAATATTGAAACCTGTTTCTCTCTGGGAGTCCCGGCCATCCACAGGTAGATGCCTACCTCGACCGACAGCTCTGAAGAGACAACGGAACGTGATAAGTGGTGACATTTCAAGTAAAAGTTTTATGCTCAGTGCTGAGCGGGTGATAGTTCCTGATGCTGGTGATGATATATCAGCACAGATCCTCCAAACGTCTAATTCGCTCACGTTGTCGTCGTAAGTCTTACTAGCACATCTACTTAGATGTTGAGCATTACGACCCACATCTTTCCGGGCAATGAAAGGTGTGGAAACTGCCTTTCATTGCCCGGAGAGATCTTGAAGTCGTTTACCGATTCATATGAATGCAGCCTCAATTTTAAGGGTATTTTAGGTTGGAATACGGGAGAAGTTCGCCAGTGAAATGGACGAGTACATGAATGTCTTGGACTTCTTGCATGGATACTTATACGATTCAGAGTGAGTTACTACGGAACATTGCGGGTGATGGAAGGAGGTTGGGTGGTCACTTCAACCAGGGAGGGATGATAGGTCGAAGTGGCCGTTTTAGATGTGATGTTTCTGTTTCTTCTGGTGTGACTTTGGACGGTGGTCACTATCCAAGACATCCATATTTGCTGGTGACCTTTTCGAACGAGGTTACGGAGGCTACCAGGAGCACGCTTACAGTCAATATAAAACTTTAATATAGAGCTGCTCTGATTGTGGAATAAGTTTCACCGAATCACAGTCAAATTGCGCACATTATTGCAGTCGCATAACTTTCGAGCTATAGTGCCTCATGCGAAGCAGAGTAAGTCTGAAAATTCTATGAATGTGAGTATACTCCCTGTAGAAGTTCTACATAACTATCCCGAGACAAGTATAGCGGATTCATGATTACCATCGAAAGAAATAGTCGGTATACGAACCATTTTAAACGACCACTTCAACCTAGCACCGTCTCTGTGAAGTATTGAGTGGGGAGTGGATACACTATTCCATTCCTGATGGATTTTCAAACCCTGCGTGAGGAACTGAGTGTTGCGAGCCTTCCACTATATCATAATTAGACCCTCTGTGATAAAAATGCCGAGGTGTGATTGTGATAACGTGATGAGGTTGCCAATAGCGTCACGAAACCAGCCCTGATTGAGCCTTTGAAGTTCGCTCACAGTTCAGAGAAGTGTCCAAGGATTCAGCGTGAATGTAAGGTCGTAGACTTTACAAGCAAAATATTTGGTTTAGTAGTTGGCATTTGGGAACGTCCTAAGGGGAGATACTAGCCTTCTCCGTACACAATGTAGATCAATTTTTTAGGTTGAGAGAGAAAATGATAAAAACATTCGAAGTAGTAAAAGAACCGCAATTCTCTTCACCAACCAGGGATGTCCGTTGTAGAAAATATGCACAAGATGAGCGCAGTTAGTAGAAAAACGGCTCAGAGGGCGCAACCAAAGGAAGGGGGTAATAGCGGGGAGATCCGGCACCATTCGTTGGTCGTTCTTTCCTATTATTCTGAAAGATTATCATTCTGGAGAGCCCGGCACGGTAATAGGCGACAGCCAGACTTGTTTGCTCTAGATCTAGGCAATGGCCCTTCCGTGAGTCGGGCACAGTGGGCTGGGAGAGGAAGGGGTTTCATGGATTTTCTTAGAGCTTTGTGCTGCCCTTTGACTTCTTGCGCAGATTTCAGATCTAAAACTTCCTCTACTTCAGTAATTAAGGGATGGATCGGAACAACGACATTCGTCGAGCCTGCTGAAATTACACGAAGATGTGCAGCTAGAGGGTTTTGAAAGTATTGCTGCTTCTAGCGAATACAAGTACGACTTTGACGTATCCTTTGTACTGATGATATGGTGGACATGTGCAGACTTTCTAGCTTACGAATTGCAAATTCACCTTCTTTCTAATCAATTTCGATGTATGAATTCTAATACAGGTATTGGATGCAATCACTCAAACAGGCTTCTAATGAAGGAGCTCTCTCGAATATTGAGTCAAGAAGGAATTGCTAAGTACGACATAAAATTAGACCCAGCCTCGAAAACGAATCTCCAGAAGAAAGGTTTGGTGATTTGCACCGTGGATTATTGAAGTTGATCTTTTTGAATGCTCAACTTTTTTATGTCCTATACTGCGTACGTTACGCGACGCTCCACTTTTTTCACATGGCGGAGTCACCTCTACTTTAGCAATCTCCGTGGCGAGCGCATGATATCGCTCTAGACGGGGCATGCAACAAGCGGTGTATTTCATTGTCGCGTAGGTAACAACGTCCACAGTTGCCACAGAGAAAATTTATTGAAAATGAAAATTATTTGACTAGGCTGAAAAATTAACAAGTGGGGAATGAGGGGATCGCAAATAAAGAGACAGCTATGCCTCCTATTCGGACGGCCCTTAGTTGGAAGCCAAGCAAAATACAGTTCTCCCTTCATGCTCGTTAGTAAGGAAGAAAGGAACATAGAGTTTCAATCTAAGAGCCTTTCTCACGCCTTTATTTCGTCACCAAATGTCGTTGAATGGTCACCGCAGTCCGACCGCAAAAACTGGTAACCAAATGCACGGAGGCATTCCTTGTATCACGAAATCGCAAAAAAGTGCCTTTGAGGTAATGGAGTGGGTTGGCGGGTCTTCTTGACTATTCTCGCATTGCACTAGGGCCGTTTCTATTGAAGTGGATAGACCAGGAACCGGACTTTAGAACATATGTTGCTATAGATTGAGATCTCATCGATGCCGCAGATGTGATAGTGATGAGTGAAGGGAGGTAGGTTAAAAAGGGTTAATAGGTTTCATTCCACATGCTGTGAGGTTCTGAGGTGGAACTTTTATTTGAAAAAAATTTCGTTTTTATTCTCAAACTCTTAATAAAAGTTCTGCTGAGAACCTCGTACGGCACCAGATAAGTAGGTTCACAGGTAACTCCAATATAGTTTACTACAAGAAGGCTTGAACTAGAGTAAACTTCTGTGTTCAGCTCTTTCTCTTCCGCACCTGATAGCGCCCTCTCAGGCAGCTTTCATACTTCGCGACGAAGCGCTGTCGTCACAATAGCGCTCCAGTGCTGTAGACGGGAGACCTTCATATGGCGTTGGAGTAGTATGGTAGCCGTAGGACGGCTATGCATCGCGAAGTATGCAGGCAGCGCACGCGTGACGAAAAAAGGTACTGTTTGTAAGTGGGTCCTATGTTGGTACCCAAGCACATTCCACATCCTTTGCATATAAGTCAACGGGAAAACTGTCTCCATAATGCTTGCTTTTTTTCAGAGTTCTGAGAAACCACTAGGGAAAACTTCAGTGCTGCGTTTGAAGGAAATGATGAAGGAAAGGATAGCTGCGGCGCAACGCAACCCCCAGACACTGGCGCGGCGCGTCAAAAAGCAGTTAAAGGCGTAGAGGTTAGTCAGTCAGTGTTGCGATGAATATATGTTTCAATAGAGACACAAACTGAAAGAGAAGTTTTGCTTCTGGCGCTGCTGGGCTCAGGGGATTTCCCTTGTTCGCTAATTTCTCTTACAGATGCTTTTAATCTTTCATGCCTCACTTTGGTGATACCTATAGACTTGTCAACTGTGGATATGGACTACCTATATGGATACCTATAGACTTGTCAACTGCCTCATGCTATTGCATAGCTTTAAATGAGCTGACGGGTCTTCACAGAAGGGTCGACAGATCAAAATGCCCCCACAGAGCCGATTGTGCCGCTTTTTCTTAGACAACAGTGCTTGTAAATTGTACGACAGTGCAAATTTCATCATGCATTTCTGTAAACATCTTCGTCGTTACATTTATTTGTGCTATTATTTTGTTGACATATTGATGTACCAGAATGTCCTACGCTCCGTTTTACGCCCGTTTTCGTCGTTTTCATCTGCGGCTGATTTCCTGGTGGGCGGAAACACTGCGCATTCCCTGGCTCCGAATGTTACTCAGGATGTAGAGGAGTCTATTGTGTCACAAAAGGTAGTATTAATATTCGGCGTGAAAGCCTTTCGATATCAGCGGTTCATTTGTAATTTGAATTTCTTCTTTTCCCCAGTCTCACCTCAATTCTTCTTCAGAGAGAATTGCTGAGTATAGCTCTACATGCGCTTCTGAAACAAGGCCGCTGGAAAACGGTTTCTCTTTCGGAATGGGGGAGAACCTTCGCCGCTGATTGTACATCTGAGGTGAACATTCGTTTGAATTGATTTCCAGCTGATGTGCATCAGTAGGGAATAACTGTGTGTAAAGTGAATTACAATCCTGAAAAAGGGTAACGTCATTGAAAAAAGTTCCCTGTGGCTGCATTCATACTTTGCAGCAGCGTCCACCAGCGACCACGAGCGTTTCGAGCGTCCCTCAGTGACAGCGACTGTGAAAGTATAGATATCGATCTAGCGAACGGCAGCGTCTACCAGGGTCCACCAGCGTTCAGGAGTAGGGAATATAGGGAAAGTAGTAGGGAGCAGGCAGCCGGATTAGGCGTGGTGAGATTGTGGCGTTTGCAACCTCGCTGTAGTACAACACAATATACATTAAATTGCACAGTTCTGTGCTTTAGCAATTGTTGTACGATGAGGTTGCACAGGCAGCGATTTAACGACGCCTAATACACCTGTCTGCTACCCTCGCGCCTCCTCATACTCTATGCTCCTTGACGCTGGTAGACGCTGCCGCTCGCTGTCTATACTTAACTGGTAGCTGAAAGAAGCTGATGCTGACGGACGCTCGAACGCTGGTGTTCGCTGGTGGACGCTGCTGCAAAGTATTAACGCAGACTGAAAGTCATTTGGATGAGATAAGTAAGAAAGTCAGGAGTGGAAACAAGATGATTCGAGTGGAAACCAAGATGATTCCGACTTCACTGAACAAAAGTTATCAATTTTTCTGATTTGCAATTTCTTTTTTCATCTTTCAGAGAGTCAGAGTGGAAGAGACGCAAGTACAGCAAATGTTCTTTGCATGTGTTGGGCAGTTGGAGCAGATGGGCATTATACGAGGCAGCAGTGACCGTGAAACCCCTTCTGTTAGTATAGCTCATCATGTTCTCAGTTTAGTAGTTTAACGAAATTTACTGTGAGAGCTACTACTACGAGCTTTGTATAGACACTTCTGGAAAGACAGACAGTATCCGAAAATGTAGGCGGTGTTATGGTCACTATGTACCACATAAACTATCGTACGGGTTGTCTCTGGAGAATATCAATGCCTTATGGTTAACATCTTCTGTTGTACATTGGTCTTGCCATTGATCTTACTCGACTCGGGTTCAAGTTCAAGCACTAAATAGGAGTAATCATGACAGACAAACGTAACTCATTCGCACTTGAAGTTCCCTACATTGTTGCTTACTCCTCAATAAAATATATTCTTTCATGCTTCTTTACATAAGGCCCTCACGTCACAAGTTGTCCCATTCTTGTCCTGTTTTCGACACATTTGTATATTTTACTTTTCTTTCTCTTACTGATAAGCTTCTAGTCAAGCGTTCATTCAACTGTAGGTCTAATAAATATGGCGGCAAATCACTCTCAGCTCACGAAACAAGGTTCTCTATGGCCTACGACTTGAACACCCACGGCAGAGGATGTCTTGAACAGAACAGTGAACAGGACAGGTACTCCGACTGGCTTCCAAATATTTCTTATTGGATTTACATAATTTATTGACACAGATAGGAGCAAACACAGAACACAAAAGAAAGCGAGAAATAGCACTAGGTGTCCGAAGTGAAGGTGCGCCCTATACAGGGGTACTTTGTTTTAGACCCCACAAAATAGGGTAACTAACATGACAAATTACACAAAACAACGGCAATTTAGTTTAGACAAACTCAACGAGTGTTGACACTCCTGACAACCACTTCAGGAATGGGTCGAGACTATGTTAAATTACAGCATGGGAGCACCCAAACTCCTGAAGTGGAGCGAACAACCTTCTTTGGACGAGTGCGTTCATAATTCGCGAACGTCGCTAGGATCGCGCTTTTCGAATGATGACGACTGGGGCGCCTTCGCGGCAACCCGCTGGTTACGCCCCCTTCATAACTTACAATGGAGAATAGGCAAATAGGATGTTCGATAGTCCCATACACTCCTGCAGTTGGCACCCTCCATCCTCCAAAACTGCCACATCTAAACTATACCATCCTCCTATTCTCCACTGTCCCAAAGTATGAACAGGCCTAACCGCTGCTGCTGCGAGCCCGTCGCAATTGTCGAACCCGAGCAGAAACCGAGCTAATATCGCGTTTTGAGTGATCCGAGCAACAAACTGCGTGGTATTAACGCAGTCTTACTAGCGATGGTCGTCAGCTCGAAGTGGCCATTTGTAACGAGACGTATATCACGGGACGTGTTTTTGAACGCTGATTTCAAATCTGCCTTCGAAATTTGCAGAACGATTCTCTGAACGGAATTATGAAGGTTTGTCCGAATGAAGGAACACGGAATCGAGGTGGTTGCCAGCCAATTTGCTTGAATAGCCGTGAAGCCGAAATGTAACCAATGGCAGCATGGTGTAGTGGTAAGGGTCTTGCTTCATAGGCGTGTCATGAGGTTCGGGTTTTGAGGAAGACAGGCTTTTGCATTTTATGAGGACTGTCTCTATTGAGTATAGAAAACACTAAAACGCCAAACGGGTGCCACGTTCGTGTTCAGGGAGCAAAACTACCCTGGGGACAGGTTTCTAGCCAGAAGTGAGGTTTTGACCTAACTTTGAAAAAGTGCAGAAACAGTTGATCGAGTGGTGGTCGCCTGTTGTTGACCAGGGCCAGTCTCTTATCGATTACTTCTTCGGACGGGATTTGCTTTTAGATATCAGGAAAACTGGTTCAGTAACAGCATGAAAGCGTCAAAATGGCAAGATGACACTTTGCACAGGAGAATGTATCTGTAGCTGAATAGGTGTGGACAAGAATCGAACAGGAAGCACCCCATGGATGTTTACTTTTCGATAACCATCAAAATGGCAGATTTAGCTAGAAACTTGTGCCTAGATATAATTTGACCCGCTAAACGCGAATATGACACTCGTTCAGCGCGGAACGCCTGTATAGTGCGCCACGGGCACTCATGCACCCAAAACTTCTTCTAGGTCACGAGGGGCCCACGCGCAGCAATAACTGCACGTAAACTTTTGCTAAAGCCACTTTTTGCTACGTTTGCGCAAGAAGCAAAAAAGTTAAGCTCAGCAGGGATCCGATCCCACGACCTGTTGCGTGGTAAACGCGGTGGAAAAAGCTCCATAACTCCGTTCAGAGAATCGTTCTGCAAATTTCGAAGGCAGATTCGAGATCAGCGTCCAAAACCACGTCCGTGAGCTACGTCTCATTACAAATGGCCACTTTAACCTGGCGACCTTCCCTAGTTACAGCATACGTTCATACCTTACGAGGTTGGCACAGCGAAGAACTGTGGAACTCGGAGAATCCGTGAAAAAAGCTAGACATAGCAGCAGGTTTTCCACTCCCTACTTGGACAGAGCCACTCTGTGTCTATCTAATATTTGTCCCGGATTATCCTTTGCTCGCCATCCCCTGATTTTCTCTGCCAATACCGCTAGGTATGGTCACAGCCTGGGAGCTGAGACAACTGCGATTTATTTTTAAACCCGTATTTTAGAACAAAAAAGCTGCGGTTTTCCACAGTACCTGTCACAGTAAGTTTACACCATAATATACGCGCACAACATCATCTGTTGGGACCCATAAACATGGAAGGTTTTGTCAGCATGAAGATCTTCTTGAAGAGACTTTTCGAGAAAAAAGCCAAATTGAGTTGCTTAGCCCATTGCTTGAGGTCCTGAATATGAGGAATTTTCACACTGTAACAATTCGCATCCTGTTTGGCTAACTTACAGCGTATCGTATGCCAGTTGTAATGGCAGCAATTGAAGGCAGCAACGTTCCCCTTGTGCGTCCCTTTTTGGCTATAAGCAACAGTACGATCCTGGCTCTCCCATCGCTTTTCATGTGACGGACTTAAGCAGCACTGTTCACAAGAGAACTTAACAATTGCTGCAGTACCGGCGGCGCTCAGCTGTGCTCCGTTCAGCTTATGCCCGCAATGAGGACAGAACTCGAAAAGTTGCATGAGCATTTCTGCCTTAACGAGGAAGTACTGGTCCGGTGGAACGTCGTCCGTTTCTTGGTAAGACGAACACGTGGAAGAACAGTCTGACACGTCTTCAACCATAGAATCGTCCTCGCTCTGAAGATGTACCCTTCATTCATATGATGTGAGCAATATACGTCGCTGATTTTTTTACCATGAAGGGAAGAGGAGAAGTTGACTTTTCGTCATCATCGTCTGCGGTTGAGCTCTCGACAGCTTTACTGGAGAAACACATTTCTGATATTTCTGATTTAGCACACACTTCTGACAAGTTCTCCACTTTGCCACCATCTTGCCCCACTTGAGCGACAGTCGTGATGACCTGAACGGAAGATTTGAAAACAAGTATGTTAACTCTTCAAGTCTCCTGCATAACTCCGCCATCCAAAGCGACCATCATACTTTGCGCCGTTTGGAATAGGAAAAAAGAGAATTAAGAACAAAAGGAAGACGAGAGCGTGCAAAGGAATGTATAAACATCAATTTGGAGAATAGAAGTAGACTGCGAGGGTACTAGGATGGACTGCGTAGGAAACATATGAGTCCTGGCCTATATTTTTTTCCTACTCTCTTTTCCCAGCTCACTAGATCAATATCTATACTTTCCTTTGCTTCTCCCATTCTTCCACTCTCCAGTACTAGTACTCTGCTACAGCTCCAGTGACTGGAAGTAAACACGCGACGCTCGTGACTTCAGTGCATCTTTTTACGATAACATCTGCCAGTGATCTTCTGGGAATCATCTACTTTGGGAAACGATGTGTTTCGGTCCCCACGCGCGGTGACACAGGGTTCATACTTCGTAATCGCGCGAACACGACAAGGAATACTCCACCGCCAAAGGTGCACCGTCACATGAGCACAATTCAAAGTGGCACTGGAAGAGCGCGGCCCAGTTCGAATTCTGCCGTTGCGGTGGCGCTCCACTTGGTGGTGAAGCACCGGTCGTGGTTGCGCGATGCAACCGTGCGATCGCGAAGTTTGTGAACGCGGCCCCATCGCAAAGCCGCGCAGACTTACTCACGAAATTTCAGTACTTTACCTGTTCCGCCTTAACAGGCCATACAGGACTTGAATAGTAGTTTTTCAGTGCAGCATTCAGAAACTTGTTGACATCACGGGCTGTGATGGAGACGATACCCTGAATTCACTACCATTACTATTTTCCGGAAGAGTGTTGATAATAGGTCTTACTCAGCTAAAAATCGTACCTCTGCCATATTATTCAAAATAGCAACCAAATGTTGAGGAATGTCTCCATCCGTTACATATGCTGTACGCCCGGAAGCTTTAGGATCATCGTAATGCGAAATCTCGTTCCCAGCCGCTACCATTTCGGCCAGCATGTATTGAGCCTAATCAGAAAAACTGGACTTGCAAAAAGCAACTGGATGAGTTCCACTTACCGCTTGCACTATGTGTTCATGGCATATTTTTGGTACCCCTCTTGTAATGGTCTCAGCAACCTTACGAGCCCGATCACTGTCCATTTGCCCGGCTAGTGAAAGAGATAACATGAGGATCATGCTTTGCTTTTGAGCCCGGGGCGCAAACCTTCCGGCTGCATTTGCTATCTTCTTTGCACAAATTCCACAACTCTTCATTTTCGCCGATACGCTGAAATTCAATAAGTATCAGCATATTACTACAATACTAACATGATTAACATTGTACACATCCATGCTATTATATACGTTTCATTATAGAATAAATGGTGCTGCCATAGTTGACGGAGCCACGTGATTGCGCGAAAGGTAGGTAACGGTAAGACCACGCGGCGTCGCGCGCGATAACTGCAAATTCCATATGGTTACAATTGGCGCGCGCTCACGATGGTTTTGTTACCGACACTGACGTGACATATGGACATTTCGCTGCTATTTTTTCAACTGGACGTTCGCCGAACCCCAACAAAACGACAGTAAATACAGTCTCTGACAGTTTGCTATCCAGAAAGCGCAGTGACAGTCAAATGACTAGGGATCAACGGTAAGCTAAACTAACTCGCGAGCAGAATTTGAGCTGGTTCCTCTACACCACAATAGCTACTTAAACACTCCAGTTATGCAAATAAAACAAAATCTAATGGTCATAACGATAGAAGTCTTACGCTAATTCAATACGCAATGAGTTTATCGCGA